CAATCCCACGTCTGTAAACACAAGCTTCAGATGCCCAACTTATCTTTACATAAGACATGCATTGCTGTCTGTGTGTAATGAGGTTTCTGGTTTTATGGGTAGCATTGCCTCCTTTGACCGCGTGGCCAGGGCTGTGGCTGCACACCGTCACCACAGCACCTGGAATTTAGTGTGAATCACTCCTGCTTTTCTTTCTTTTCCAAAAGGACAACACTCACAAAAGCCAGGTCAAAGTACAGTCAAAGTATGCGTTTCCAGTACCCGCCTCAATTCCTCCAGATAAAAGTTCTTAACGCCTTCAATAAAAAGCCATACCGCAAAAGCCATATTTGTGACTGAGTGTGGCTAAACCAAATGCTCAAACAAAAGGCACTGCTGCTAACTAAAAACCAAAGCATTCAACAGTCTATATTTGGGTTTGAGTTCTTGCACAATGCTTGTGAAAAAAAAACAAAAACAAAAAAACAGTAAAACCCCCTTGAAGAGCACTTCAAGAAAAGCAGGTATTAAATGCATTTTAATGAGGATGCAAAGAGACAGACAATAGCTCTGTTTGATGTGCTTTAAAAAAAGGCTAGATCACATAAGCACATCCTGAAAATGTGTTTGTATGTTTTCAAACACTCCGGAGGTAGTGCAGGGATAGCGTCTCAAAAAATTTGTCAACAAAACTCCAGACAGTCCATTGTTCATACAATGTCAGTGTGTAAAAAGAGGGAAGTGGTTAATTTACCTATCTTATCTCATTGAAGTTCCATATCTGTCTTACAGCCTCTTAAAACATGCCAAGATATGGCAATCAATGTTTAGCTATCACAGTAGGAGGCCTTGGCTGGGTTAGTATGCTCATATTTTTAAAGGAAAACATTGCATGAGAAAAACAATATATAGCTGAAATAAAACAAACCCATAACAAACTTTCTCATGACTAAAGACTAATCATTCATTAACTCACAAAACTTAAACCCACTGCTTTTGCCTAGTACAATATGAAGTAGAAAATACATTATGCATGTCTATATCATATTTAGCTAACTTATCAGTTTTAGGCATTTTTTTGTAAGTTTGTAAATAAACTCCCATTATCATCTAAACCAACTACCATCAAACACTCGTAAAGCTCTCTGCAATTTTAAAACAATTGTTGTGTGTGTGTGTGTCTTAAAATCATCACCTGGCGTAACTTTTTATGTACTTTTTCAGTTTCTAGGTAGAAGACCTGAAAAACCGAGTGACATGTTTAAATTATGCTGCTCTGTGTATTTCAAAGCCAGTATTTAAAAAGCATGGGACTGCTGCATGGAGTTTGCAAGTTCTCCCTGAGCATGCGTGGGTTCTCTCTTGGTACTCCAATTTCCTCCCCCAGTCCAAAAACATGACTTTTAGGTTAATTGGCTTCTCTAAATTCTCCTTAGGTGTGAGTGTGAATGGTTGATTGTCCTGTCCGTGTCTATGTTGCCCTGCGATAGACTGGCGACTTTTCCAGGGTGTACCCCACCTCTCGTTGAGAAATGGAGAAGGGCACCAGCACCCCTCTCGATAAGCGTGATGAAAAATGGATGGATATTTAAAAAGTTCCAAGGAACCGCTTTAATGGCACTGAAAAATCATGTCTTGGGGAAGCCAACAAAGCTACATCTGTTAAAAGGCTGGGATGCAAACTTGATGTTTCCAAACATGTGAATTGGACAACAGAACTCCAATGAACCCTCTCTGCAACTATACAAGAGATAGCGACTTACTGAGTCTCATTTTCAAACACTCTAAACCAAGAATTGTTTACATTTTGGGAGAGTTAAGGCCTGGTTATACTCCCCGCAGAGTGTGTCACAGATATTTTTTGATTTATGCCCAATATCGAAGTGTGGTCTGCGCTATGTTGTTCCTGACACAACGCAAGAGGGAAAATTACGAAACAGCTGTGGGTCTAGATATGTCTAGATGTGGGGGCAAGTTTAGTGCGGCAACGGAGGGACATGAGGGCAAAAAAGAGCGGAGATCCAGGTGGAAAAAGGGTCCCAGCGTTCTCGTGCACCTCGCCCTTCTAGCTGGTGCAACTTCACGAGTCGTTTTCCACATGCTCTTGCACAGGTTAAAGATGTTCCCCCTCGGGAACAGGTACAGGGTTGTGCATGAGCGTTTTATTTTAAGTGGACAGGGAGGGTCTTTTCAAAAATTTGTAAAAGTCTTCCCCTAAACCTTTAACATCTTCTGTTTGTTAAACCCCTTTATTTCCTGTCTTAATGGAAGCAATGTGCCCATTTCTTGGTTTGAATTGGCATCTGATTCTGTGACAAGCTTTTGACTGGCATAAGGATATATCCTCTAGCTGCAGGCTTGAAGATACTTGTTTTTGATCAATATTAACACTGAAAAACCAAATTCATGCAAAAAAAGGAGCGCTATTTGTAGAGACAGAGGAACTTGGTTATGGCAGGCAGCCAGAAGCACTATTTTTTTTTTCTTATTAGAATTTAGTAACTCTATAACACCCAATTCTTCTAAACTTCAATCTCGTAAAAAAGAGATAAACTCAGAGAGTACGAAAGTATTCAGACTACCTTGGCAGTTGCAGAACAAATACAGCAGCCAGCCAAAATTTGACAACATCCTATTTTTGGGAGGTCAATATCATTCCCTTCTAAGGCAGAGCTTAAAATACTTAAATCAAAATTTTAATTGGCAAGGTTTTTGGGCAATGCCTTGGAGTTAGTTTACAAATAAGGGAGAAAGATTTAGGGTTTATCGTCTAAGTTGTTCCTTTTGCTGATCACATGGAGGTTATACTGCACCATGCTGCCAATATGAATGACAGCCGTACGGCTCTGTTTGTCACGTCTTATATTTCTAGTTTTGGTAATTTTGTAAATACCTGTTTTTAGGTGTAAGTAGAGCTTTCTCTCTCAGGACGATGCATACCAACTATTCATCAATTTGCATTAACAAGAGTCCATTTGTTGCATTTCACAGATTATTTAAAGTAATTTTTAATAATCTGCCTTTTGATTACTGCTGAAAATGTTGATAAGGCAACTACAATTATTATAATTTACCAACAAGAAACTGTTCATAATTAAAATTAGAGAGACTTTATAGGGTCAACTGTCCAAAACTGGAACTGCAACAAACATAAAGAATACCGCCATGTAAAATTTACTCCAAGCATCCATCCATCTTCGGTTACGACTTAAGCCTGGTTTATGCTCAGAAACTAGGTCGTCTGCGTGTGTGTGTTAACGCAGATATGCCCCACCCCCTTCCACAGACACTCTGGTGCACCTCCCCATAATTGTAGGTGACCGCAGACAGTGTTGCAGATAGCATCACAGGGAGGAGAGAGAGGAGGCCTCTGATTGGTCAATTCTACATCTGCAATATACTCTGCGTATCTCCTGTTTAGTACCTTACCAGCTTGTTTTGTTTGTATGACCGTCATTGTGGAAAACGACTCTTGAAGATGGACCAGCTAGAAGAGCGAGGTGCGCGAGAACACTGAGACCCCATTTCAACCTGGATCCCCGCTCTTTTTCACCCTCATGTCCCTCAGATGTCGCACAGACTTGCACCTTGCGTTTTTCCACTTCCTCACCGCCTCGGCCAAATCTAGACCCACACCTAGTTTGCAGCTGTTCCTCTTGCGTTGTAGCATGGAATAACATAGTGCAGACCATGCTTCAAAATTGGGCATAAACCAAAAATATCTGTGTCATACCTGTCGCAGTCAAGCTCACTGCGACACACTGCTGCGGGAGTATAACCAGCCCTTTATCCCTGCTGGAGTCGCAAAGGGTGCTGGTGCCCATCTCCAGCTGTCTATGGGCGAAAAGCGGGGTACACCCTGCACAGGTCGCAGGGCAACACAGAGACAAACAGGACAAACATCCATTCATCCTCACACCTAAGGAGAAATTAGAGAAGCCAATTAGCCTATCAGACACATTTTTGGACTGTGGGAAGAAACCGGAGTACCCTGAGAGAACCCACGCATGCACAGGGAGAACATGCAAACTCCATGCAGAAAGACCCCGGGCTGGGAATTGAACCAGGAACATTCTTGCCCACAACCTACTACACCACTGAGCACACCAAACTCCAACAATAAGATGCATTTCTCTCAATTCTTATGTAATCTGCAAACACTTCACATTCCCATTGAGAGTCTATATGTTAAACATGGCAAAAAAGTGGATTTTTACGATAAATAACAAACCTGTCCTGTCTGCATGTGATCATAGTCTTTGTGTCTGAATCTTACTGAAAACATTTAACCAGGCGCTATTAAAAACATCAAGACAGTAGCAGACCAGCTCTTGGGAAATGTACCCATCAGAGAAGGGATTGCTGATGCATTTCTGGCACTTTCAATAACAGTGTCCTCTTATGTCACTACTATTATTGGGCAATGGGGAACATAGGCATCGCTTAGTGCGCATGCCCAGGACAAGGACAAACATTACTCCGAAATGCTCAACGGAGAGACACAAACTGGATTGATAGAAAACAAAAATGACTTGATCGACGGTGAAAGGATGTTTTGGAGACAAGCTTTCGCCTTTACGCGTCCTTTGCAGATTCTCCTAATAGTCCAAATCAGACGGTGTGGCTCCAGAGGAAGTAGAATGAGTTGCTGCTATTGTCAGCTGTAGAGTTAAAACACGTGAAAGTCCATTCACTCAGATTTGGAAACATTTTCCCAAACGGCTTATACGGAGATAATAGGCGGAGACTTTAATAGCAAAATAGCGAGGGGTTAGAAAAATAGCAACAGGGGATATAAGTCCAAGTGACTTTATGGTTATTAGGAGCAGCTCGTTTAAAAACATGTATATGTTGCGCTGTATGCACACTCAGTAGGCCCGTTTCCTTCCTAAAATGTAGCCCACGCAGACGCGAAACGCGCAAGGAAAGACCCTGGTCTGGACAATAATGCCATCCAAAAGACAAACCCACATGGACTGTTGGGTTTTTATTTTCTCTGACTCAAAATGAAATGTACTTACCGAGGAAATCGGACACCGCAAGCGGAGAAATGTGCCACTTCGCCTCACTCTCCTCCTCGCCTGTTCGTCTTCTGCGCGGATTTTCTCAGAACCGCGTCTGCGTGGAAAATGTCAGGATTCCAGCAGTGGCTGACGGTCCCTTTGCTGCAGTCCGATCCGATGATTGTTGCGCTCTATGTCTGACCGGATCACACGACCATGGAGCTCTGAATGTCGCCTGCTGCCGCTGGTCTCATCCGGGGCGTTTTGGAAGAGGAGGAGGGGGGAGAGCGGCGGTGCGTTTCTGCGCGCTGGATGTCAGATTGGAGATGAAGGACGGAGAGGAGGGGGGCGCACATAGGGGAGGAGAGAGTCTGAGTCAGTCTGGTCAGTGCAAGGTGACACCATAAGGGAATAAAATATCTACTATATATGTTTATTTAACAACTTTGTTAAATAAATCCACCTTCTGGTATCCATATATGATGATCCATAAACATCCAATCATTTCCCACCTCTGGACCAGAGGCGTAGCCAGAAGATTTTTACAAGGGTGGCCAGGCAATAATCAGGACAAACAGAGGGGTGATAAATCTACACTGTTCCAAAAGGAAATTTAACAAGCAAAAAAATCCATATTTTCTAAATAAAGACAACCTATACTTTCCTACAGCCTTTGCTAACAAATAGACACACAAACATCCCTGCTTTCTAGATAAAAAGTATAGCGGATAAAAATTCTTTCAGGTTTGAGATGTGGGGCGTAAATCTTTTCTGTTGTCATTACTTACCTACTCGTATCCAATGTGACTATCGCTAAGCAGAGACTGCAGTTGATTAGGGGCCCCCGACTTCTTAGGGGCCCCGTCACTGACACCTGGTGGGTCCCTTACGCAATTGTGGACTAGGACGTTTCTTTGCAGATATAACGGTGCCGTTCCTCCTAAACCAACCTGATACTAGATTGACTGACCAGAACGTATTTATACCCCAACACATGCCAGATTTCAACACGATGGTGAGCCTTTTAAACGTGACACCAACACCAACTGCGTATAGTTCATTAGACTGTTGGTAAAAAAAAAAACCAAAAAATAAGGTTCAAAACAAAAAAAAAAACCTTAAAAAAACAAGGAATTGAAGAATTTATTTTTTAAACTACAACTTGGAAGTATGGATAATCTAGAGCGTAGATTAAAACCGTTACGTACAATGTGTTAGCGACGATGGATACCAAAGAGAGGTACTTAAGCGGATTCCAGAAAAGAAAGAGGAAAGAAGCGCTGCTGGAAGAACGGGGTGTTGTACTTCATATGGGGCCCACCCAGATAATGTTGCTTACTTACTGTTGTGTCGTTACGCCATTGGTTGTATCAATAAACATTCTGTATATAATTGATACTTACAAGTATTTATATCTACATAAATTGATTATTTGATACATTTAAATTGATTATTTGATACATTTTTATTAAAATTGTTATTTATCTATGATTTCACTGAAGACTCCTAGATGACTTGCAGGGACGCATTTTCTCTTTACCCCATATAACACAACATCTAGTACTGAAAAGAGCATGAATTCTGTATTTATCATCTTTGATGTTAGTATATTGATGTGTATAATTAACCACAAAAAAATAAAATGTTTTGAATATTACACTTGAGAGTATTACTGCTGCCACCATCTGTATTAGAGGAAAAAAATGGTAAGGGTGGCCACAGGGGTGGCCAATGCTTGGCTAAGGGTGGCCATGGCCACCCCTGGCCCTCCATCTAGCTCCGCCCCTGCACTTGACCACAGCTGTAAATACTGGATCTACCTAGTTGCCATTTACTTGAATATTTTACCCTGACTTAGAAAATTAGCAAATAATAAAATTAGAGGAAAAAAATTATAAATACATAATTTCTTATTATGTGCTGGTCAGTTCGGAATGTTGTAAAAATATGTGAAATAACCTACATGAAACGTTAAATAAAAAAAAAAAAAACATTTTGTGAATAAATATTCTAGATATGCCCAAACCTCAAACATGTAATACGTCCATATGGTATGATTCAGCTTTTATTCTTTTTTTGGGTAAATCGACTTGTATGAAATGTGACATTTGATGTTCTCCTAAAAAAAGATGTTAGAAATGAATACATTTGGCTGGTTGGCTGAAAGGTTCCATTACAGTTTATTGGTAGAAAATTGGTATGTGTACAAATACTGGTGCATATTAACATGGTTGGTACATAATTTCCCTCTGCAGAGAGTGTACAATATGACTAAAACAACAAAGGGACGAAATTGAGAGGATAAACTCATAATCCTGACCAGCCCAGGTTTTTTTTTTCTATGAGAATGATGAGTGACTTAGCCTATTATATAATTTAAAATAACTTTCTTTTAATCTAAATTTATTACAGGTTAAAGCCTAGTATGTGATAATCAAGCAAACAATATTTAATCCTGTATGTACTGGTGGCCACTAAATATTGTATAACTGTCTGCTCCAGTCAACAGTAGTGAGGTTGTGCATGTGTATGTGTGTGTATGCATTGATTGAGGGCAATTAAATGTGCTTAAACCTCACCCAGAGTTTTCAGTTTGTTTAATAACCAAAGCAGAAAACAAGCAGTAATCCATTCGTGCCTATCCTTGTTTGATTTTAGTTTTCTGGGCGGGGCTGTAAAAGCAATGTAGATGGACACCATAACGTCTGAGATGAAACAGATTTCTGTCCTTCATTTTTCAAACTTGTTGCCTAACTGCATGTCAGTTGTGGAAACCTGCATTGAGGTTTCATAACCATAATCTACATCTGCAAAGAAAACTGAAGCAAAAATCAATAGAAACAAATCCAAATTTGACACTATATAATTAAACTGCTGCTGAGCATCCTGTCTTTGTAACCTTTTTTCCTCAGATAAAAAAACGACAAAAATTACAGTCATATTGTAAATAAATTTCCCAATCAAATGCCTGCTTAGCTCTAATCATGCTAATATTTTATCTATTATACCTACGGCCACATGGTTTATTTGCCCATATTCAGTGCAGAGAGAAATACTCCTTTGCTGTTTTTGCTATTTTTGTCACATATTAAAGATCATCTAACACATTTTTAAATCCACCAAATACAACCAAGGTGAAAGGCAAACAGAAGTAAAAAAAAGTTTTATTTTCACTGAAGAGGAACAGATGCAGTAGTCTGTTAGATAATAATAATAATAATAAAAGAAATAATTCCCTATAAACAACTGTTTGTGCATCCTTTGATGGAAACCAACTGCCATGCATTTAATGGGTAATCAACGCTGTTCTAAAATGCATTGGATCTTGATGTCTTACTTTTCAATTTAGCTGGTTTGGTCTGATTTAGTTAAAAGATCAGATTGTGTATGCAACACTATCATATATAGCTCCGTACAGAAAAAATAACAGCATCCTGTGCTTCAAATGTACAGTCAGCAATCTAACACTTACACAACAAATACCACATCTACATCGCATCTACAGGAACACGATCGACTTTGTTTTTACTTCCCTGGAGTCCTCTCAACCCTTGTAAGGTGCAGTTGGCTATCATGATATGTACAGTGGAGCTTGTTTGTTACACAAAAATCTATAATAGTCATTATGGGGTGGGGGTGGGGGGTGGGGGGTATGTAAACAACATAGACCTGTTTTAGCAGACATGTATCTGATGGAAATGTCAGCTTACTTTCTCTGTACTCTTTAGTTTCATGTCCAGGCAGGCCAGATTTGGGTGCGGTGTTTATTCTCCCACCACTCCCACCACTCAAACAAACCTTTACTCCAAATGTGTCACATGCTGCCAAATCTTTACAACTTCTTAACATCAATAACTTGTTTTTTATTCAGATAAGTGATATAAACAGAAGAAAATGTTGTCTTGTGTAACCTTCTTGCCAACCCTTGTTCTCAAACACAACATAGCTCTTGGTGTCCTATAGTAATGCTTATTATTTTTTATGACGCTGGTATAATCCTGTATGCTCATGCTACCTTTCCTTTATTGTTACTTTTTAACACCACACTGTTGCGTAACGCACACATCTGAGATGGGTTACGCTCCTAAGCAGTTACCATGGTGTTGGTTCATAATATAGGAGATTAACCTGTACAAGTTAGTTTAGCAGTTTGAATTGATGATTGATTGGGTTTTATGGTTATAGGAATCACCACAACAAAGTTGATAGCAGTGATCCTGCATATGAGCAGCAAAATACTGGAAGGCAAACACTGGCATGGTCTCTTGATGAATGTTATGAGGCGGCCAGGGGTTATATTAATATTTGCATCACAGTTGCATTTGTTAAATGTAAATATGAAAAAAGCATTTTCATTGTTTTATGTAAACATTTGCACATACTCAATGTATGATTAAAAGAGCTATGTTTTGAGGTATTACTGATGGTGCTGTCATAGTGTAACTATTTATTTTTTCTAATGGCAACAAGAATAAACTGATATACAACCGTGACAGAGTTTAATTACGGTAATATTGTCGGTCCGGCCTCCATAAGGGACCAATTTGTAACTTTTTTGATAACTGTAAATCATCCTGACTTTATTATATGGTATAACAGATTATCCAGTTTTTAACCTAATTAATGTTTCCTTTCATTAAGATTGATCCAGCTGATCCATAACCCTGCTGCCCATGTTCTCACTAGATCTAAGAAAGTAGAGCACATCAGCCCAGTCCTGAAGTCCTTCCACTGGCTCCCTGTAGCTCAGAGAATAGATTTTAAAATCCTTCTTTTAGTCTATAAATCATTGAACGGATCAGCACCTCAATACATAGCAGATCTGTTGCAAGTGCATCAACCACTCAGGACTTCTAGTTCCAGTCTACATCCACAACAGGCACCAAACATGGAGAAGTGCTGAAAGCCTGAATGCTGTTAAGTCATAGTTAAACACCTATTTGTTTACAGCTACCTTTGACTGTTAAAGTTAAAATGTTAACTGAGGTATTATTAGTTTAAGGTTGTGGTCCAACTGTTTTATTTCCTTTACTGCCTGCTTTTATTGTGTTTTTATCTTTATTTGTTTTTATTTGTTTAATTCATGTAAAGCACTGTGAATTGTCTTTGTAGTGGATTGTGTTTTAAAATAAACTAGGATTGCCTTAATCATTTTATAGACAATCATTTTGTCCATATTTTATAGAGATGTATTTTCAAATCTCAGTACTATCAACTGTGACCCTGTTTGAAAAAGCAAGTATTTGCTGCCATCTTGCGGCAAAATATTGAAACAACCCTTACTTAGGCCTGCCCTTTCCTTGGAGAATTATGCAAAATCCACGGGCCACATTAAAAACAAAACTTTTTGGTGAAAAGAAATGGTGGCAATAAAAGGATGACTGCCTAGAAGAAGAAGCGGTACCCTTTACTGATATATTTCTGTTAAACTGGATGTAAGACCCATGTTATTGTTTGATACTTTGCTGTGTTCATCCTCTTTTTCGAACGCCGGTTAAGGGAATTATTTAAAGATAATCAATCAATAAAATCAGGGTACTTAAATTGAATCATTATAGACCCTCGGATAAAAAAATGACCCAATATTACAAAAAAAAAAATTGTTATTTTATAGTTTGCATTCATCATGAAATTTTACATTATTTTTCTTCTTTCTGACGTTTGACATAGATAAGTGTCGATTGCTTGCACTCTATCTTTAATTTTTATAATGAAGGGATGCTCAGATCTATTGCTAACAGATGTCCAAGGAGACCGGATCAGGAGTAGAACCCAGGAGATGCATATTTATTCTAATTTATTTATGCACTGTTATTACTAAGTGGGAGTGTTGGCCTAGTGGTTAGAGCAGTGCGCTTGTGCTCTGAGTAGATTGCAATAACCTGGCTCAAGCCTCATAGCCACCACTCAGGCTCTCTGAGCAAGATCCTTAACCCCACACTGCTCCCCGGGCCAGACGTGTAGCCAGAAAATATTAGTAAGGGTGGCCAGGCAATAACCAACGTACACTGAGGGGTGGCCAACATCCATATTTTCTAAATAAAGACTAACTATACTTCCCTACAGCCTTTGCTAACAAATAGATGCATTAATTTAAACATCCATGCTGTCTAAATTAAAGGTGTAGTTGAAAAAATTCCTTCAGTTTTGAGTTCTGCGGCAAACATCTTATACATTGTCATTACTTACCTAATTTTATCAATAATCATTCTGCATAAAATTGATATTTACATGTTCTAGTATCTAAATCAAATGGATTGTAATATGTTATTTATCGCTGATTTGAGTGAAGATTCTTAGATGACGTGCAGAGACATAATTTTCTCCTTACCCAATATGAGACAAAATCTAGTCCTGAAAAGAGCATAAATTCTGTATTTATCATCTTTAAAGTCAGTATATTGCTGTGCATAATTAACCACAGTGTTTTTGTTGTCAGGATAATTGTTTGTATATCGAAAATTAAAATGTTAAATAAGTTATTACATTCAACTTGAGAGTATTACTGCTGCCACCGTCTGTGGCAAAAAATGGTAGGAGTGGCCACAGATTGGCTAAGGGTGGCCATGGCCACCCCAGGCCCCCCATCTAGCTCCGCCCCTAAATGCAGAGAGGGAATTTCTACATTGTGGGACAATAAACAGGTTTATATTTAGCTAATCCTTTTAATATTTTGTCCCCAAAATTTAGGGTTGGACACATTAAAAAGTAATTTGCCAAACTGAGGCCACTGAGATATTCTTTCACGAGTTAAAATAAATGTTTCAAATAAAATTGTTCGAATTATGAATGTGGCAAAAAATAAAGTTGATTATAGAGAATTAATACAAAATAATTAGATACAAGTAATTGCTAGTTCATACTATTTTCATTATTATTATCATCAATATTATGAATTCTAATCACCTGTGTTTTGTGCTATTCATATCTAAAGCAACCGACATACATGCAAATTATGGTATTTCTTTGCCATTTCACTGAAATTTGCTGTATTTGTTGTGCCTTCAACGTCGCATTTGTAATGAAACATTTCATTTTTATGCACCTGTCAACGTGAATGTTTACCTGAAGGGCAAATATTAGAACGTTTGCTATTATTACAACCCAACCATATCGCTCTATGTGGAACAAAATGTTTCATATTTGCTGGGGAATTGTCCATCTATCCGTCCGCGTCGCGCGCATGAACGCCCACGCGCCCGACGTACAAACGCACAAATATGGCGGCATCCGCTGCACCTCTACGCTCCTCCTTCAGGATTTGCTTACCGTTAACCGCACACTACTGTGGCAGCCGCGCCAAACTGCGGACGCACAGAAGGCTCGACAGTCAAAAGAGGCAGCTGTGTCATTCTGTGAAAAGGTACGTGGCGCCATATTTAAAATACTGTCGTTTTTTTGTTGTTGAAATTAACAGAAGGGATGGAGAGCGGCAATGAAGTACCGGTGGAAGGATAGTAACTCACAGCAGGTTTTAATGTAACCAGTAGATGGCGCCAGATATGTTAAATAAACACACCATCATGTTGTGCTAAAATGTGATAAACTGCTAGAAAATGAACAGCAGCGGGAGCGCGCAACCTGTTCCGCGCGACATTGAACCGACGTCACTCGCAAATTTAAATTATTTTGTGATAAAGATACACGTGTTTTTTTTTTTGTTTTTTGTTTTTTTGCGAAACGTTAGTGCTTAAAAATTATAATATCCAATTCATATGATATATGTATTTTCTCTCATGTAAATTAACATTACTACTGATTTTAATTGCTTTAAACAATTTTTGAAATAAAGGTAAAGATAGTCTTCAAAATAATGTTATTTTCTTTATGCTATTTTTACTTAGATATTGATGTACATTTTCGCATCCCACGTGCTGTGTCACTTTGTTGCCATAGGAACGACTGCTTTCCCTTTCCATTGTAGGGAAGAGGCTGTCCCATTCACGTTTATACCCTCCACCTACAATCCAGGTGCCTTCCACAGCTGTGATTGTGACTTTATTGCGAGTGACACTTGACCTTTTATAGGGCACTCAGTGAAATACTTTGAAAAGCTAATATTCAGGCCAATAGTGTTATTGGAATACAGGACAAGACCTTATTACCTTTGTAACATTCAAAAAATATAGATATTTTGATGGCAAAAATTAATGTCAATGTAAAAATAAGAAATGCCTATTTGCCTGAATATGTTAAGAAAAATAACAAAAGTGCTTCTATAAGAAATTCATGAAAAACCCTGAGAGTGAAAGAAACCCTTTTTTTGTGTGTGTTTTTGGTACAACATAACCTTAGAGGCATTAATGCTGATACTGGCACTTACATTTTTTAGTTTATAAACCTACTTTTTACCTTTTTTTCTTGACTTTTTAACTTTTTTTCCAACTTAATTTACAGTAGGTAATATATCATTCCAGGGCTCATCTAAGTGGTCAAATGCCAAAATAAGTTGTACAGCTATGCAGCAGTATTTTTGCTGAATCCCTGGATATAGATCTTGTTCTTCTAGACCTCACTTAGGGACGGGGGGGACTCCATTTGTAAGGGGTATGCAAGTGATCAAAAACGGTAAGTTGCCCTATAAAGAGTTAGTGGTTAGGGTTGGGATTCAACCTCAGGTCTGGGAGTCGATAACATTTTGACACAACACGCCACCTTTAGCTGTGGTTGTTGTACTGTTTCAATGAGCTTCTACAATGTGTGTAGCGGCTAAAATCCTATATTTTAGGCTTCTGGTTGCTATTCCTGAATGCCGTTGGTTTTACCTGCGCTTAATGAAGATTATCATGCCAATCTTTACTTTACTTATAATAAATTCATTTATTAACAGAACCATGTCCATAGTTTCACTACTTCCCTTTACATAAATACATAAATTCGACATTAATCTAAACCAAACACAATAGAAAACTGTTGCCTCCTCTCATTAACAAAAGCTGAACAGAATCATGGTTGACTTTAAATAACCCCATCATCCAGCAGACAATAGGAACTCACAATCCTCCCATGGAGACGATAAACACAGGAAAGGACAAATGGCTACTACAATGTGATAAGATTTAGACAAGATGTCACAGGGTGTCTTCAAAAATTATTAAAGAGTTTAGTCTAAATATTAATATATTTCCCTTCAACTGATTTAAAATGACGAGTTCAAAATTTTAGCCGATAGTTTATTAAGGACTTCTTTCTGTTCTGTACATAATGTTCCCCAGGCATGCCGCCGTGGTGATTTCAGGAACAGAGTTGGCTCGTCAAATTCACAGAGAAATCCAGCGTGATGTGGAAGAGCTAATTGCCCATGGCAACATGAGACCCCACCTCGGTGTCATCTTAGTCGGAGACGATCCAGCCAGTCACACCTACGTTAAGAACAAGACCCGGGCAGCCACCATCCTGGGTCAGATATAAGCATTGTTTGTCTTTCTCAGTTCTGATCATTGAATGCATCATGCAGTCATATACATGCATCTCAAGTTAGAGCATTGTTGAAGTGATTATCATATATTAATTCATTACATAAGAGTGATGTTTATCTGTCCTCTAGAAATATTAAAAAGTGCATATTTAACAATATATTATGGCCACTTTAAAGTGACGTTATCCTCACCCTTCAGAAAAAAATAGATGCTAAGGAAGATTGCATATCAGGGTGCTGCATCCAAGCATATTAATGGATAGATGAGTAGGAGAAAAAAGCCTATTCAAGAATTCAAGGTAGACGATGTGCATACCTTCCACAACATGGGCTGAAACATTCCTAGTGTTACTGGAGATAATGTCATGAATGTCTTACCTGTCCTGAAAAGGGACCTTTGTTCAGATTAAAGTTAATTTCCCACTTAATAAGACAATCAAGATGATGCCGAATGGTTGTCTTCATGCTACCCCTTCATTAATGCAATCTTTTGTGTAAATAAAGCTCTAAGCAAATATTACACATATTGCACAGTATGTGGAAAACCTCTCAAAGAAAAAACAAAAGGGATTTTAAGTAGTTTGAAGCTGTTATTCTTAAAAATACCAGAAATGGATATTTCACATGAGCAGCTCTATTACCAAGGCATCTATAAATAAATGATTTTCTATTTTAGAACTGACTTACTGAAAACAACAGTTCTAAATTATATTCTGATTTATTTCTCCCACACTCCCCATATTATTTACTCTTATGTAAATCACTACGTCTGTTGGGCTATTTTTACAAATAAAAATCAGATCACATGTATTGCTGCTGTGTTTAAAGCTGACGTGTTGGGAGTGTAACATTCCTCAAATTTCCAGGTATTTCCAGTGACACAGTGGTTCGACCCAGCTCCGTGTCCCAGGAGGAGCTGCTGGAGTTAATTGATAAGATGAATCGTGACTGGAAAGTCAGCGGCCTCTTGGTTCAGCTGCCACTTCCAGGTATGTAGAAAAGAATCTGTAAATCCTAATTCTGCCTACCTATAAATGAAGTGCAATTTCTCTTCTACTATTTTTGGAGTGTATTTGGTTTGTATAGATCCTAAGTCAGAACTCTATTGCTACCTATGTTGAAAAAAGGCTAAATAACTCAGTGGGTGTTTAAAATCCTTTATGTATAAAGCTGAACCCTGTATCGCAAACAATTCAAAACAGTTTATTACTATAGGGCCAATTCACAGCACATGTCATCTTAAGGCACTTTAAAGATCACCAGATCATGCAGTCAAATTGATTCAAAGTTTTCTATCTAAGGAAAACCAGTAGATTGCATTGACTCATTGACACGGATGCAATTCCTCACACTAAGCATGCTTGTAGCGACAGTGGAGAGGAAAAACTCCCTTTTAACAGGGAGAAACCTCCAGCAGAACCAGACTCGGAAAAAGCAGAGAGATCTTGCAAACAAGATTGCAGTCATTATTTGCAGAGTTTAGAGCAAAACTGCACCTGAAATTTTAAACGACGCTCTTTTGTGTTAAAAAAACGTTCTACTGGAGTAAAAACTGTTTACTGATTTTGTTTTAACATTGTTTTTGTTAAACATCATTGTTTTATGTGCAAGGAAAACATCTCATCACATTCCTTAAGGTGTTTTTTGACCACCTAAGATAAAATAAAGTGATGACAAACATTTTTATATTTAAATAACAACCTCACTTTTATTATTATTTTTTTTAATAGTATAGTGATAAAGGTATAAATATTGTGTATCAAATAGTGAATAGTCCAATGTGTTGGTAGCAGTTCTAATTTTATCTTTATTTAAGACACATTTGGTCATTTTGTAAAATAAAATAAAAATAATTTCAAGTTATAATATTACCTGAAAATAATAATATTCATAATAAATAAATAACAAAATTCATGCTTAATGTAGTTATAGCTGATATATACCGCCTCTCCCTCCTTTAGATCACATCAACGAGCGAGCTGTCTGTAACGCCATTGCTCCAGAGAAGGATGTGGATGGTTTCCATATTGTGAACATTGGGAAGTTGTGCCTGGACCAGAGGTCTATGGTACCTGCAACACCTGCAGCTGTCTGGGAGATGATCAAAAGATCAGGTAAACCAACAATGGTTCTAAATCCCTTCTAGGTGTCTATTTTTATTTGCCAGTAATTTTTCCAAATTGATTCTCTAGATGGCAGTAAAGATCTGTTATTACTCATGCTCACAGTGCTCTGCTAGTACCATTTTATACCATTATATCTGGAAGTCATGCAGTGTGATCTTGATATTTCTGATATTGTCTAACCTTTAATAAATTACTTTTTCAACCTGGAGAGACTCACACAGAGAAAAGCTTCAATTAGAAAAATGTTTTTTTTTTTTTTTATACCGGTAACATAATAATATTCTTCACCATATTTCTATCTAAGGAAAACTAGCTGATTGAGAGGAGTCATTGACTCTATGCAATCCCTAGCAGTGAGCATGCATGTAGCAACAGTGGAGAGGAAAATTCTCTTTTAACAGGAAGAAACCTCCAGCAGAACCAGGCTCGGTGTGAGCGGCCATCTGCTGAGGCCGATTGGGGCAGAGGAGACAGAAGCAGATGAAGACATAAACCAAATAAGTTCTTTGGCGCTCGGGCCCCGGCAGAAGACTTCAGTGCTGTGAAACAACATTGGTTTAAATGAGTAACCTAGAAAAGTATTAGAGTAGTCTTCCCCCATGGCCCGCACTCTGGTAGTGGAATAAGCCAGAGGGTAAGTGGGACAGCAAACAGTCTGAGAATGAGATAAGTGGAGGTCGGTTAAAGTTCTCTTGCGTGTGGGAGAGAGAAGCTGGGCTAGGAGCTAAATGAAGGGGGTCTTGCAAGATGATTGGCTTTGGAGAAGGTGCAACACCGAGTTGATTGGCTGAAGCTGAACAATTGACATCGCAGGTGGTTCAGGTGAAGCTGAGACTCTTCCAGGTGGAATTTACTGAAGCCTGAGCCTTCCTGCAGTAGGTATATCTTTTCAGACATTTCCAATAGTTGTTGAGCAATGCTGGCATTCACAGAAAATAAATGCCTTGTTCTTTGATTCAACCCCATATTTATCATTTAATTAAATAGTGGCTTAATATGTTGATAAAGGTACCCCCTGTGATCACAGTATTAGATAAAAAGTCTAACATTTCTACATTAACATTAAAAAGAAAAAAAAATAAGGAAAAAATAAATAAATAATGGAGATTTTGCTTCCTGATCAAACACATAGAGGAATGTTTGTGTTTGTTGCCAAGAAAAGTAAAATCTGCATCCAACTTGGCTGCTAATCAGTGCAGTTCAGTTCAGGTAACTGTTTTTGCAAAGAATGCCATTGATGGGTGGCGAGGCATGTTGCGTAGGACTCAGGTCTATGTACGCTATTTTATCTGCTGTAAGATATCAACAATAACGATATAACAGGGTGCGCAATGACAAAAAAATAAAACCAAAAACGATTTAACCGATGGTTTATAGTGTTTGTTTTAAAATCAAAATTTATACTAATAAAGAATTTTGACTTTATCTGTACTCCTATTTTGTTCAATGTTGGAGATCTGCTAAGAGAACAACAGAGGCTGATTCTGTGTGATTAATTTAGTAGATGACATCAACTTCAGTAACAAGTATTAAATGAGTAATTTATTTCTTTTCTATGTTTCTTTCAATGTCAGATCATTATTCCAAAGATAACTTTAGAAAATATGGTAGAGAATATTACTTTCAACATTTAGGGCTTAATCAGTGTTTTAATGTTTAACCTCAACAAACTGTTTAAACAAATCGTTTCTTTGCAAACACGTTGTGACCTGATACACAAATCTACAGCAAAACTATCTGTAAATATTTTAGATAAGGATTTTCATGAGAATAATAATTGAATGTTTTCATCCCTGGGAATGTGTTTATGCAGGAATACAGACTGTGGGAAAGCATGTGCTGGTTGCTGGTCGCTCCAAAAATGTTGGAATGCCCATTGCTATGTTGCTGCATAGTGATCGGAACCATGAACGCCCTGGAGGTAAGTCAGTTTCCTTGCTTGTTTTATTATCTCCACAAGTTTATCGGCTCAATAATATATTCATCATTTTTGTAGAAAATGCAAGTTGCAACATCACGGTTTTCCCTGAGCTTTTGTCAGGATATGAATGCTTGCTTCAGTATTTGCCTTTTTCTCCAAATATAATATATGCTGATGCATGTCCGACAGGATCAAAGGAAGGGAGTGTGAAGGCCTGAAAACTGGGTGAAACTTTTGGCACAATGGATGGCTGTGAAACGGATCCAATCCTTATATGGTGCAGGAAAAAAATGTTGGATTTCAAAAGGTGTTGCCTGTTAGGATTAAGCAACAAGATTTACTTTAACTGTCAAAGTTCAGCTGTCTGACATGAGAAAGCACAAAAACAAGCAAAGCCATATAATTAAAGTGCGCCAGAAGCTGAAGTTGCTGTTGAACTCAAAAGAAGCACAGAGAAATGTAATGTGCCTTACAGGGTTAGTTCCTCAGGGTTTCAGGGAATGACATACATCCCGTCTGGGGCGGTTCTAACCAGTTAGCATCATGAAACTTTTCTCATCCAGAAATCTATAGAGAAGAAGAAACCAGTAGAGAAAACAAGTATCCCTACCAGTTTTACCTGTTTTTGAAGTAACTGTTTTGGGAGCTATTTCTAACTGTTGTTTTTTAGGGTTGTGCCTTTAAAAAAAAAGAAGAAAATTCAAACATTTTGTAAACACAGATTTGTCCTGGACCGTTCAAATTGGCTATAATAATGTAGGTAACATCTGATTGTGATGTATCTTTTAGATATATACCTTTCTAACAAGTTTTGCCAAGAAAAAAACTGAAGTCTTTGTTTTATAGATTCAGGGGTGTCTTAAACATTTCTCAGAGATTTTGATTCATATTGGCACATTTGCTTCACTCACTTAAGGTGAATTATGTAGCTGTACATTTATTCCAGCACACCTCAGAGGTTTTAACTGAGATCCATTGGCTGTGGAGACCGTTGGAGTTTAGTTAACTGTCACACTCATTTTTCTTTTTAAGAAATCAGGTTTTTCCTGCTTGAAGGAGCCATCTTAGATGGATGGATACAGTAAAAGTGATTCACATAGTCAACAACTACACTTTGTTGGCCTGTTGTGTTTAGGTGAGGTTCAGTTGGGACTAAAGCCTCCAAGAGACACACTGACACCATCACTACCTGCCCTAACATTGGATCCAATGCGTGAGGGATCCATGTATTTATGTTTTTTTAATATAATTTTTAATCTGACCCTGTGAGTCATACTGTTGGAAGAAGACTCATCAGACCAAGAGACATTTTTCCATGAAAAAAACAACAACAAAAAAAAAATCTGGCAAAAGATGCAGATATATGTTGAAATTAAATACATTCTCTGTGAGAACTTGTTAAAATGAGTCAATGCTTTTCAGATGAAATTACATGAAATTCCAGCTTAACTGTTAAACATGTGGCGCATCGAGCTCCTGGTTTCTCCACGCCCTCATAGTTAGGTGCACCCTCTACAGTTAGTGTTTATGAATTAAAGGTATGAGTTTGTTTTATTTAGTTTCAGCAATTACATGGCAGTAAAACGCAGTAACCACTTAGTCATTTGGCACTGTTTTACATATTTGTGCATGTTGTATCATCAACTTGGATGTAAACTGAACTGTAGGCATGTCTGCAGTGAAGTTGGATTTTAGAGTTATAGACATTTAACTAGTGATTTCCAGACATATATGAGAACCAATATGAGTTATTCAACAGGCAGGATTTAAACACAACAGCACTTTTTCTACACTTTTTTCTCTGCTGAAAATGAGGACTAGGGTGGATTAAACAGAAAATCATCTCTCTGCCAGTCAGAAGACCAGCGATTCCACTCTAGACTCTGGACATGGATGTACAGGAACAACATTATGAGCATCCCTAACCAGGTCCTTCAACCAACAGTTAATTCATTTTTTTAAATTGATGCCTAAAAAAGTCAAAATGAATCAAGCATTTTACATAATCACTCATGGAAGTAAACTCTATGGAATATATAAATACATCAAAAACCTTTTTCATGCTGGTTTGAAGAGAGCTAGAAGAAGCTGAATGTGGGTTATAAGTAAATGTTCTTTTCTAATCCATTAGGAGTGGACAGTTTTGTGTCATTAATCATACAATGGGTGCTCTGTGAATATCCAAACTATTGACAACAAAACAAATTAGTTTCACTGTGCAATTTATGAAGAAAATATCAGTATGTTTGAATTGTCTTTGCTGTTTTAACTATTTATTGAGGTCCTTTAAATTATCATTATATATTAAGATTATATTTCAAGAGATTACATTATTTTCTAGTCTTCCATAGTGTATTTGTTGTACCTAATGTAAAAGTTGTCAGGTCTCTATTTAATAATGTGTATATTCTAATTTGTTTTAGCATGACACGCTTTTGAAAGTTGTATACCACAGCATATTGTGAAAAAAATATTATCTTCCATACCTAGGATGCATTTGACATTCTAATATATTATGAATTACCATACATTTGGGGATTTACCAAAACATGTCCAATTCAGAGCAGCTTCAGTATGAAAGGGTGTTTCATCTGGAGAGAAATGTTGTTTATAATGTACATTTAGAACCTTTACAGGATTATAGGGCATATATTTTGTTGGAATTTTTCCCCTTTAACTAAACAACTGTTATGTTTATTTCCCTGACGTAGATGAAAAATTATACAATAAAAAAGGATAATACAATAATAATACATATAACAAAGCAGTCCATAAAACAGACCAAGGTTGCCACAAACCTATGATGTTATCTTTGGAACGACAAACGCAGACCTCAGTGCTTAGTAAGATGGGAACAAGACTGAAAAGTTTTGTTAGAAAAATGTGATCCCACTGGTCAGTTTGTTCCTTACCTGCCTGTATGGAACTCAATCCCCCCTGCTATAAGCATCTTCTTTTATCCTATATGGCTTCCTATAGTATAGAGTCAAGCACAGTCTGTTGCAAACAACATAAAATAAAAATCTTGCATTTTAAATCTTATCCATCCATCCATCCATCCATCCATTTTCCGTCACTTTTATCACAGCTGGGGACGCAAGGAGTCCTGTCAACACAGAGACACACAGGACAAACAACCATTCCGCACACAATCACACGTAAGAAGAATTTGGAGAAGCCAATTAACCTATCAGTCATGTTTTTGGGCTGTGGGAGGAAGCCAGAATACCCGGAGAGAACACAGGCATGCTCAGGGAGAGCTCCATGCAGAAAGACCCTGGGCTTGGAATCGAACCCAGAACCTTCTTGCTGCAAGGCAACAGTTCTATCCACTGGTGCACTGCGCAGCCCCCTTTTTAAATCTTATTTTAATAAAAACGTCACACTTTCAGCAGGGTTTATCCAGTTAGGTGGCTGAAGATTCAAGCACACTTCAGTCTCTGCATACAGAGCAGGCCTGAAACATTTGCTTTGACTCATCAGTCCACGTTCTAATAGTTCTAACCACAAGCTTAGAAGTATTTAATTTTCAATAAGTTGGAATGAGATGAAGGAATGAGCAGGAAAATAAGTCTCTGTGGTAAACCCTGTCTACTTTGTTTTACTGCAGTGTTTAATGAGCACTGACTAATACTGTTATCCAAACCATAAAATTCTGCCAGCATTTAATGAGATCAAGGATAAAAAATGCTGAGGCATGCATAAATCAGTAATCCCATTTTTCCCGAGTCTTTTAGGCAGCATACTTAGTACTCAAATTAAGGGGGGGATTAGGGGGGTGGCATCCCCCGTCTTAAAAAAAATCTTAAAAATCATCCCCCTTCTTAAATGACCATCCCCCAATACCATCCCCTGTGACATTTTATCACTGAATGTGTAAATTTCTATTATATATTTACAGTAATGGCAATAATACTGCCCCTTTCAACATTTGGCGGGCTGTGGAATTACGAGTAGGGCACAGCGTACTCATTCATATGTCAATCTGTTTTCTCATCAATGGGCGTGAGTTTAGGGCGATGTGTGCTCCCGTGACCGGGGAGGTGATTCTCGGCAGGCAGGTAGCCTGCCAGTCAAGGGACTGACTGCAGTTCTACTGAAAGGTGCCTTGGTCAAGGTCAATGGCAAGCTAGTATAAACATGTTTTGTTTGGGAAGGGAAGTAATGATCAACATCTACAGTATGACAGCAGCCATGGTCAAATATCCTGGTTGTTGTTTGCCACAGAAATAAAAAAGAAAAAGGAAAAAATCATCTAAGACAGCATCTAAGACAATTTCACAGTCTCTATCAACATTTTCTGATCTGTCGTAATCTAAGATTGTCATACCATCCAGCCCTTGCTTGAGATCCTTTAAGATGTATTTGATACTCAGACACATGTCAAGAGTAAGGAATGACCATGACAGTGTTCACCAAAGAGCACAGTTTTGGTGTTTTAGATTCTTTTAACCATGCAAATTATAATTTGTTTTAAATATTATCTGATTCCTGATTTTCCTTTCATTGGAAACGAAAATAAAGCACAGTCGGTGTACTTGATTGCCAGGGTAGAAAATAAGTAAAATTCCTACTGTATGACTGTAAAAACTGTTTTGTCACTCCATTCCATGCTCTTCCAGCCTGACGCCATTTCGTCTGATATGACACCCATATGTCTGATCTGCTGGGACTTGTTCCTTCCTTAGATCATATTCTTTATCTTTCCTGAATCTTCCTGTGAGATACTTTTTATCTTCCTCCTTGCCTCCATAACTTGCACAACACTAAAAACAATGCACGGTTTCCTTAGTTATTAGGGTCACACACTGCCGTTAAGAACCTGCAATTTACTGACTTCCATAAAGCTGTTGTGTTTTATAAAATAAGATTTTTTAAATGCATAAGGTTTACTCCTATACTAAAATGTATTTCATTTCTATACATTATGGCACAATGTGCCTTGGATTATATTTTTTACAGTTTTTACATTCAGCTCCCCTTCTCAGACTGATATTCTTGCGATGTGCTATCAAACCTAAATCTATGAGTTTCAACTCCCATCCATAGACTCAAATGTAAATGAAATCAAGACAAAACATCCATGGTCCACATTAGAGTGAATAGTGAATGATTAATGTCGGTTAATTAATCCTAAATGATACTTTGTCCCCCTCAGGTGATGCCACGGTGACGATTGCTCACAGGTGTACACCACAGTATCGGTTGAAAGAGTTGAGTCTTCTGGCTGACATCATCATTGCAGCAGCAGGTAATTACAGTTAGGTAGGATGAAACTCCTCTGTGGAAGATGGCTTTCTGATACTTGTGCTGTTGACATTGTTTTGTGATAACTTTTCGTCACGCTTATCCCAAGCGGAGGGGTCCTGGTGCCTATCTCCAGCTGTCTATGGGGAAGAGGGGGGTACAGTACAACCTGGACAGGTCGCCAGTCCATCGCAGGGCAACACAGAGACAAACAAAATAAACAACCATTCATGCACACACTCACACCTACTGTAAGGAAAATTTAGAGAAGCCAATTAACCTAACAGTCATGTTTTTGGACTGTGGGAGGAAGCCGGGGTACCCGGAGAGAACCCACGCATGCTCAGGGAGAACATGCAAACTTGGAATCAAACCCGGAACCTTCTTGCTGTAATGCAAGAAGGTTCCACGCCACTGAGCAGCCAGAATATGCATTACAGAAACAAATGTTCATTTTATTAAGAGAATATGCACAATCTTAATAAAATTATTTTTTTTTGCTGTAATGTCCTCCATCTATTACTGCTTGTCTTTTATGGTCATGGGGGTCTTTCCTGCATTGAGTCATTGAGCAAAGGGCTGGGTAAACCTTGATCAGGTAACCAGACCATCACAGAAAAACATACGGACACACAAATATGCACACACCTGGGGGCAATTTAGAGTTACTAATCAACCTAGCAGTCATGTCATTTTTCAGTCATGTTCATGTTATCAATAACTTTCCCCCATAGTTTCCTAATTTGCATATAAGGAAATATTTTGGCTAGAACTGTACAAAATAGGAGAGATTGTGAAAAAGGCTTGCCAGCCCTTACTTGAACAGCTCTTGTTACAGGCTGCCTTATTAATGAAAAAACATTTCTCAGTAAATATCTGTCTCACTGCCCTGTCACTGGTTTCAAGTTACTCTGTTTTTAATGAAGAAAAAAAACAGTCTAATAAGTTTGGAATGTGAAACCACAAATGAAGAGAAACACTACCATAAGACGGTTTAGTTCACTGGGGGTTGCTGGGGTCACCATTGTTTGTATTAAAAGATTCTTTATTTGTTGAAGAATAGATGGAAACGAAGAGGCAACATTGTTTTAGGTCTCTTAGCAACTCTTTAAACAATGAGGCAAATATTTGCTCATCTTTATAGTCAGAAAGGGGTTTTTAATCTAAACCTGTCCATCTTAACAGATAGAGCAACGATCAAAAGGTAATTACCATGGCAGGTACCAGTTTATTACCTGGAACTTATATGACTGGGCAAAGACCCATGTGTATCTTCCCATCATACATAGGTAGCAGGATGGTAGACAGTGGGGATTTCTGATATTATTCATCATGATTCAATACTCAAGGCAACACTGGTTTGTTGGGGATTTTGATTTTTGATTTTGAGTGGCGGCCTAGTTGTTAGGGCATAGAGCTTGGTATCCTGAGGTTGTGAGTTAAACCTCCACTCTGGTTCTCCGAGCAAGACCCTTAACCCCTGTTTGCTCCCTGGGCACTGCACAGTGGCAGCCCACTGCTCCCCAAAGGAGATGAGTTAGATGCAGAGTTAATTTCTCAGTTGTGAGATCAATAAAGTTCAATTAAATGCTGATTGGTTAGCCTGTATTTTGCATGGAACTAAGAACATATAAATGTGCTGGTGTTGCTGATCTGATTTACAGCTTTAAATTTGGGACTTTTTTAATGTGAGATGAGAACTCCACTTTGCATTTGATGCTTTTAGCCCACAGACTAAAATAAATTGACTCATTTTACGCTACACTGAGATTTTTCATAGTGCAATTTGATATTTACAACCTTTTTCTTTAGGGATTGCCCAATTCAACATGTTCATTCCTGATATATAACCTATGATGCAGCTTTGAATAATGACTGATATAGATATTGACCCAATATATCAGCACAAATCATGCATGACTTTTAGTATGCATTTTGTGCATGTTTTGGCTTATATCAGACCACTTTCTGGTACCAATATTGGGATAGCCCTACTCTTTGTTTGTTTCCTTTGAGAAAACAAAAACACATAGAAAATAAGTTAAATAAATCAGTATCACTTTAGCTTTTTCTAAAGAAAGGACCCACCCAGAGACACTTTAAGCAAGCTTGAGGGTTATATAATTCATAACAACTAGGCAAGGCAAGGCAAGTTTATTTGTAAAGCACAATTTAGTACAAGAACAATTCAAAGTAAAATAAAGTAAGTAATAAAATAGGAGTAAGATAAAAGAAGAATAAAAGCAAATAAAGATAAAACACATTTGAAGCAGCTAGTAAAGCAAATAAAACATTTGGGTCAACAAGTTTAACCTAATGATACCTTAGTTAGCAGTTTACCTTCAACAGCCAAAGGCAGCTCTAAGAAAATAGGTTTTTAACTTTGACTTAAAAGAACTCAAGCTTTCAGCACCTTTACAGTCTTCTGAGAGTTTGTTCCAGATAAGAAGATCATAGGAACTAAATGCTTCTTCTCCATGTTTCATTCTAGTTCTGGATGTACAGGGTAGGCTGGAACTAGAATACCTGATTGGTCTGGGAGGTTGATAAACTGAAAACAAATCTGTTATGTATTGAGCTGCTGATCCATTCAATGGATCAGCAGCTCAATACACTTCATTATAAACCTATAAAGAGGCTTTTGCAGTAATGAACTCTACTAAAGATAAATGTACAGCATCAAAATGCAAATAAAACCTTGCTTATTTAAATCAGACAAGTTACTTGTTGGGCCGATGCTGATATTTTAAAAACCAACTAACATGTCGGATACTAATGTCCATACCTACAATTTGTGCATCACCAGTTGCGGGGAAAAAGACTAAAGATATTTTAGATTCCCCTTTATTGATATATGTACATTTTTGTTTCCTTGTTGGTTAGGTGTTCCCAGTCTGATTACAGCAGACATGGTGAAAGAGGGTGCAGCTGTTATTGACGTTGGCATAAATCGCATCCAGGATCAGAAAACAGGGGCGGTTCGTCTCATCGGAGATGTGGACTTTGAGGGTAAAACAAATAATAAAAGTTACCCAGATTGCCTCAGCAGAGGATATTTCCTAACACCTTGACATGAGCAGCATACCATTGTGAATAGAGGAAATTGCTTAACACCATATCATGTTTCTGATTTTTTTGTTATAGGAGTAAAGGAGAAAGCTGGTTTCCTAACACCTGTCCCTGGAGGTGTGGGTCCCATGACTGTTGCCATGCTTATGAAAAACACTGTGACTGCTGCCAGAAACGCACTGATGCATTAAAAAGCATACACCCTTCAGTTAAGTTTGGTTTACACAGAGGAAACAGCTTTTAAAGATGCAATAGGCTGCATACAGTTCAATGCAAACTCGGATACCAATCCTTCGAGTAACCATGCAACACATGTCAACATCTATGACCTCAAGATCTTATACCTGCCTGGAAACCTACTTGATATGTACTATCTTTATGTCCTTAATTATTGTTCAATTTGTTGTTTTAAATAAGATTTTGCTTTTTACAAGTTATATGGATATTTTTTCTACTGCAGTGTTCAATTTTAATAAATATGCTTTAAATTAACTGTAAAGAAGACATAATAAAGGTCAGTGGCACAGTGCTCATGTTTATTTTTGGATTATTTACATTTTCTTAAATGTTTTTTTTTTATCGCATTCATTGGAAACATATCTAAATGTAATCTTATTTGGCAAAAATAGACCTTCATTTTATACTTTTGGTCTTGGAAAACCAAAACGAATGTTTCCTAATGAAATTGGTTGTCTTATTTAATAAGGTATATATCTGAAGATTCTTGGTCATTCAAGTCATGGTCAACCTTGAAAAGTTCAGTTTAGGCAACTGGGTGTTAAGTTTCCTAGAAGACTTTTCACCTCTCATCCCAGAGGCTTCCTCAGTTCTAACTGGCGGTTGTAGCACTGAGATTAATTTACTGTCGATGTACAAAATTAAGCCTAGGCAGAAGTTTAAGTGAAGAAACTCATTGCTTTTCATAAATCCACCTGTGACACAGCCAATCAGCTTTGAACCACACCCCCACGAAAGCCAATTGGCATCCTAAGTTCATCTTTAAAGGCCTCCAATACGCACTTGTCTGCTCCTGTGCGCAGGCGACGGATGCACTGTGACTTCATTTAGATGACACAGTTTCAACCCACCTCCAGCCCCTCCTCCACCATCATAGCTAAAGCTTCACCATGGTGTAAGGGGTCATTGATGATGTTACGGGCCCAGGACACGCAGCGCTGGGATAAAATTTATTTTATGGAGGAAAAGAGGGGCCCCAATCATCCTTTCTGCTGTTCTTACTACTCTCCTCACCTTCTTCCAGTCTGAGGCTCTGCAGCCTCCACACCACACAGTGAGACAGCTGATCAGAATGCTCTCTATGGTGATTCTGTAGAAGATCGTGAGGATGGGTGGGTGCAGGTTGGTGTTTCTTATCTTCCGCAGGAAGTACAAGTGTTTTTGTGTCCTTTTGACCAGTGAGGTGGTGTTTACAGACCAGGTGAGATTGTCTGTGATGTGCACCCCTTGGAATTTGGTGCTGCTGACCACCTCTACAACTGAGCTGCTGATGAGCAGTGGAGCGTGGTAAGGCCGTTTCTTCCTGAAGTAGACAATGATCTCTTTCGTCTTCTCCACATTCAGGATCAGGCTCTTATCTTTGAACCAGCCCACCAGCTGCTCCACCTCCTCGTTGATGTCCTGGTTGTTGTCTTCTCTGATGATAACAACCAGGCATGGTGTCTTCTGCAATGTTCAGGATGTTATTGGTGGTGAAGCTGGAGACGTAGTCATGTGTCATCAGAGTGAACAGCAGGGGGCTCAGGACGCAGCCCCGAGGGGAGCCTGTGTTTAGGGTGATGACATCAGAGGTGTTCTGTCCGACCTCGAATGACTGAGGTCTGTTTGTGAGGAAGTCTAGCAGCCAATTGCAAGTCCAGCTGTTCCAGTTTGCCAATCAGATGCTGTGGAATGATGGTGTTGAAGGCTGAGCTAAAGCCCAGGAACAGCATCCGCACGTGGTGATTCTTCCCCCCAGGTGTGCCAGGCTCAGGTGAAGAGCAGAGGAGATGGCGTTCTCAGTGGCACGGTTCCGTCGGCAGGCAAACTGGAATGGGTCGAATGTTGCGGGAAGACTGGAGGCGATGCATTCTTTAACCAGCTTTTCGAAGCACTTCATCATGATGTGAGTCATGACAGGCCGGTAGTCATCAAATGAGGTGACCTGAGGCTTCTTTGATTGATGGGGTCAGACTTGCACATATTTGCATATTTGCACTATGGAATGTCTGTGAGGACACCGGCCACCTGACCTGCATACTCCTCGTACATCTGCCCAGGTATGTTATCGGGGCTTGGGGCCTTTCATGGGTTGTCTCTCCAGTCTTCCGCACATCAGCTGTGTCAATGTGGAGTGCCTCCTCTCCCTGATGTGGAACGGCTTTCACTGGTGGAGTGCTGTTTAGTGCCTCAAACCTTCCAAAGAAGTTGTTCAATCCATTTAAGAAGTCAGCATCAGCTTAACCCACTGGGGGGAGGTTGTGTTGTAGTCTGTGATCACCCGTATGCCTTGCCACATCCTCTTGGTGTAGCTGGCATCATGGAAGAGTTCCTGGATCTGCCGGCTGTGGTTCTGCTTCGCTGATCTGATGGCATGGTTAAAGTTGGCACTCTCTGTCCTCAGGGCCTCTTTATCAACAGATCTGAAAGCTTAGTTCTGTGCTTTTAGCGATTTCCGAACCTCTCCATTCATTCAGGGTGGTTGGTTGGCCCTGGTGGTGATGTTCTTTTTGAGGCAAATGTCTTCTAGAAAACTTCAGATCAAGTTGGCCAAAGTAAACTATTCAAGCAATAATGTCTATGTTTAAAAGAAAAAGTGGAAAAAACGGGAAAAAACTCAATTTTCTCATTGTTTTATAGAAACAAATGCATTTGACACACTGAACTCCCGTTCTAAATCAAAACCCAAGCCAAAATTGATCATCTCCTCTATGATAACAATCAGTATGGAATGAATAAAAAATAGTCTGATTAAAAAATAAGCAATGTCTGTTTTATTAATTTCAAGCTCAAATACTTCAATTCAATTAAGAAATATGATATTGATCCAAAAAGAACGTTTGATAACAAAATGAATTAAACAATATTTGCTGTTCAAACTAAAGGAAGAAATACTATTTAATACTTGTTGTTACTTTGTATCAATAAGACAGTTTTACGGTTTCTGAAAACTGCGATATGTTCTGTGTTCTAATGGAGTCCACCCATTCCTGGCACTGTGAACAGATATTCGAGCTCCCAACCTTTGGACTGCATTCCAAGCTTTCTTTTCTTTTCTTTGTTTTTTGCCGTTGAACTGATCTCACAAGTATTCTGTTGCTCTAATCGGGCTGGTTACGCCAATTTTTTGATCCTGTGGGTCTGAAAGTAAGATGCTGCTCTCCAGCTGTTGTGTTTACAGTTCTTTTTTTGTAGAATAATATATGTTTGCATTGCTGCATGGTAACATGACCTTTTCAAATATTTTCATGCATTGGAATTGATTCATGTTTCCTTGCTGACAATAAACAGTTCTCACAATGTAGTATTGAGAATGTTCATATCATAATTTCTGAGCCACCATGCTTAACAATGTCCCCGGCCTTGAACTCAGTGATTGGAAATCTTTTGATCATCTGTCTGCATCCAGTAACAAATAAAAATGTATTAATACTGCTTAACTTCTCAATCAGTGTGTTAATATGTTCTATAACAAAATGTAACCTTACCAACATGCTGGGGGTCTTTTTCACTGTTGATTTTACTATCAGTTTAGCTTTACATAGGTGTTACCTAATGGTTGCACTATTCACAGGTCCCTGTGTGGCAGCTGATCACTATTTTTTATTTATATATATTTTTTGCCATTTTAGCGATTCTTCAATCCATTAGAATGCTAGTTTAACAATTTCCTCACATCTCTCTGATCGTGGTTTCAATTTGAACAGATTTTTATTTACTTTTATATATGTTGTTTGATCTCCAATCAAGTTTGTTTTAAGAGTGCTGGACAATTGAACTTTTTTCCACTTGCAGTTAAAAAGCAATCATTGTGTAGAACATTTGCTGCCATACTGTAGTCCCAAGAAAAGGGGTGCCTTAATTTTACAGGATTAATGAAATCACTTAATTAAATGCGTAATTAAATAGTACTATCACTTCATAAAAACTCCCACCTGGTCACCGGCGCATCGTTTTCTATATTTACATCAAACACAGCAGTACGCTTGAAAATAACACCGGTTAAACTTTTAGACTTGGACAAACTTTATTGTCATTTTGTACCCACAGAGTGTATACAAAATGAAATTTCATTTAGTACAGCTCTCAAGACATTTACATTTCAAGTGCAGCATTGATAAAATGTAAATGGTGATCAAATGTAAACATAAGACTGGTAAAGGATTTACAGTTTTTCCAACATTCAGCACTTTTATTTTTTTCCATTTTATTCATCATTCAGCAGTCTAATGGCAGTGGGAACAAGTTGTTTTGGAATCTGCTGGAGCTGAATCAGATGGAGGGAAGAAGAGCCCCGATCATCCTTTCTACTGTTCTAACTAATCTCCTCACCTTCTTCCAGTCTGTGGCGCTGCAGCCTCCACACCACACAGTGAGACAGCTGGTCAGAACGCTCTCTATGGTGCTTCTGTAGAAGGTGGTGAGGATGGATGGAGGCAGGTGCGCTCTCCTCATCCTTCACAAGAAGTACATGCACTTCTGTGCCCTTTTAACCGGTAAGGTGGTGTTTGCAATCCAGGTGAGTGTGTCTGTGATGTGCATCCCCAGGAATTTGGTGCTGACTGGAGACGATGTGCTCTTTAACCTGCCTTTGGGAGCACTTCATCATGATGGGACTCAGTGCTACATGCGTGTAATCATTGAGTGAGTTGACCTAGGGCTTCTTTGGGACCGGACTAATGGTGGCAGACTTGGAGCATGTTGGCACTATGAATTGGTCCAGCGAGGTGTTAAAAATGTCTGTGAGGACATCAGCCAGCTAATCTGCCCACACCTTCTGCACCCGCCCGGGTTTGTTACCGGGGCCTGGGGCCTTTCTTGGGTTGACTCTCCTCAAAGTCTTCCCTACTTCAGCTATGTCCAGGTTTAGTGCCTCCTCACCCTGGTGTGGAACGGCCTTCACTGCTGGAGTGCTGTTTAGTGCCTCAAATCTTCCTATGAAGTTGTTCAGTTCATTTAGGAAGACAGCGTTTGCTGCATCTACTGTGGGGGAGAGTGTGTTGTAGTCTGTGATCACCCATATGCCTTGCCACATCCTCCTGGTGTTTCTGGCGTAGTGGAAAAGATCCTGGAGTTTCTGGCTGTGGTTCTGCTTCGCTGATCTGATGGTACGGTTTAAGTTGGCACGCTCTGTCCTCAGTGCCTCTTTATCACCAGATTTGAAAGCTTAGTTTTGTGCTTTTAGCGATTTCGAAACCTCTATATTCATCCAGGGTCTTTGGTTGTTAGCCAAGCCAGGCTAATAGCATTGTCTGGTATTGCTGGGTGCAGCTAAGATTCAGTCAAAATGATGGAGCAACAGAGTTCGTCTGGAAATCGTGAGCACCAAAGCACAACTGCACGTTAAATCAGAATTTCAAAAATAAAGCCACGAATTCCTACCTTTGAAGCATTCCTGAGACCATATTATAAATTCAATCTTAGATTATTTATATTCCATTTGTCCGTAAGGGTCCACAGATAAAAACTAATCCATTATATTTGTAATAAGAACATTCCATGATGAGAAAATAGAATCTGTTCTTTACCATCAGAAATTTTCGATTGTCTTGCAAATTGCCAAAGCTTTCAAAGAAATTTCTGGTCAGTGTTGGGTATGTTTGTTTTCCTCACCTCCCAGCCTAAAAAAACAAATTGTATATAAAGAAGGTTTTTAGGGTGAACCATGGGCTAATAAAGTCTGATGAACCAGAACCATATATTTTATCTTTTTATCCGTATCTTATACTATTTACGTCAATTTAATCGATATTTTCATGCCTCACCAAATAAAAACAAAAACTAGCTACCTCACTGAGACAAAAAATGCCAACAAAAGAAACAGGCAGCATGCATACTTAGTGTTATATATTTCATTTACAACAGTCATATTTGCAATCTAACAACAGAGTTTGTGGTCATCATAAAGCTTTGAAAAGAAGAAGAGGTTTTTGCAGTTTAGGCACCCAAGCAACTTTGATTTATATAAAAAATATCATTCTGAGTCAAATGGCCAAACTCCAACAACCCAGGGGAAGAAAGGATAGGTGCCTTGACTCGCATCTGACTTGGAATGTGCTTAGAAGGATGGGCCTGTCAGGTGCTTAAAAACATCAGTGCACCAACTACCGGCTGCTCTTGAAGGAGAACTGACAGAAACATCTGGATAGATAGCAATACGTTTTGAGGGGGAAAAAACTGGGTGATGGTCCTGTTGCCTCTGATTTAAGGCTGTTTTGTGGTGACTTCGTAGTGCAAATTATTGCTGTGGCTTACAAATCCAGAAAACATGCTAGATATATATCAAGAAAAATAACCTCAGATTGTTATGTGGGGGAAAAAAAAGGCTAGACAATTTCAAAAGACTGAAATTAAGTGGGGAGTAAACAACTCCAATGCCTAGTTTAAAAATAAAAATATAACCATAGTTTTCTATGGTTCTATGCCTTTTGATGCTCTAGGCGGTTTAATAACTTTAAAGCAATCTAATATTATTTCTATCTGCAATTTTTGGACAGAGCAAATGAGGCAGACATAGAAAAGAGTCTAGCCAGAAACTCTCTTTTGTTATCTCATCTCTGAGGAAACTGGGTGTTTGCAACACATGTAACTGTCAGTGGAGTCGCCTTTATCAAACTTAAAACACATACTTGTGGTGAACTCTCAAACTGCCCCAAGGCTTGCGTAGGTGCTTCTTTAGAATGCCCTTAGGGAGCCGAGTGAACACGTGTTCACCACTATCACCCTTGCCAGTGATCAACCCACAGCTTTGCCTCTGCATGTAGTCACGAAAGGCAGGTGAAAGGAATGATGCAAATGATTTATTTTTTTTTTTCTCGGAAGGAAATACCTTTCTTTGTTGAAGAATTGGCAGGTCTTTGATTGGCCATGAATTTTCTTCTGAGGATCGGAGCAGGATATATAGTCTGAACAGACACCTAAGAAGGCAGAAGACATTAAGCAGAAAACATCAAAGTGGAAAAAAGACAAGATGTCCACACAAAGACAGACGTACCTAGAGAAAGGTGAGTTTCTGGATTATTTTTTAGACAATTACTATGACAATTACTGTCATATGACAATAATTCATGATTTTCATGTATGACAGTGGAACAACAGTTATTGACTACTTTTTAAAACCTTTTTTTTCTTTTTTACAACAAATATAGAAAAAAAAGTACAGAAACTAAACCGTCTGTACCCTATAAACCAATATTAACTCCAACACATGTTTTTATTATTCCAGCATTCTCCTTTACAGTGACAGTGCTACTTCTGCTGGCCACAACTGGATTTTCTGAGGTATTGGATGAGAGCACTATGACCACTGAATCACCCCTTCCTCAAAATTCATCTACAACAGAGCAGGTCGTAAAGAGTAAGTGTCATTCTTAGTCATATTGAGCAGTTTATATAATATCATTAGGCAATAAGTCCCATAAATTTGTTTAGTAAACTATTTTTTTATTGAGCCAGTTAACTCCTTTCTCACCATAACCATGATGAATAACTAATTCAGAATTAGTGTATTTAAGAATCAATCACTTTAGGAAAGTTTTTTTTATTTTATTTTTATTTATTTTTTTTACAGTTATTAGCTAAAATGTGTCCTGTTTCCTTTTTCTTGTCATTTTTTAGGCTGTTCTATTAGTTTTATGTTAAAAAGTGCTTACACTGAGTAGTTGCAGCAGAAAGGAGCCTCTGTTAATCTTAGCATAAAAATGATTACATGATTGTCATAGTGTTCTCCTCTACATTCTTTTTCTACAGGGAGCTTGGGCCACTCTACTGTCATGCATTTAGTTAGGCCTTGTGGAGAAAAAAATGCCAATTTTTGTTTAAATGGGGGGAAATGCATCCACCCCCAAGACAGCAACAGTCCTCATTGCAAGTAAGCACACAACTGATGCCCCACCTGTTCTGGTGTATTAGCAACCATTTTGCACATGTTGGTTCATGTTTGCATTAGGAATGCGCTGACATATTTCTCTGTTCTGCAGCTGCGCACCTCTATACTATGGCCTACGATGTGAGAAGATTAAACTTTCGCCTTCAGTTAAAGATCCTGATATTGAGAAGAAGATTGCCATCATCTTTGGGCTGATCGTAGTCTTCATTGTTTTGGCTCTTGCCATCTTCTGTTTTGTAAAGAGAAGGTGAGTAACTCTGGGATTTCATATTAATGTGTTTGACAGAACAGAAAGTCTTGGTTGTGAAGAGGCCTGTTGTAATATAATAATAAAAAAAAGACTTCAATAGCTTGTTAGAGTTGTAAATTAAGATTCACAGTCACTATAGGGTTTGTATCTTTTTTACTTTAGAATAAAAACTAATTTTAAATTCTGACATTTTATTTTTTTCAGATGTGAACATTCAGCCCCTCTGATTAAAGCTGCAGCGTCAGAGACTTCGGTGTGAAATCATCGACCCTCATCACCATATTCCTACAGAACTTGAACTAGATTTTATTTAATAATATAAAACCACCATTCACGTTTAGAATATTTTGTTTTTGCTTGATGCAGACTGAATTTAAAATAACATGTGTCAAAGTGAATTTTAAATTCTGTTCTAACTATTTTAAGGAAATTACCATTTCTGTAATAGTATTTTCTTTCATAGACCTGTTGGAAAACTCCTTTATTTATAATAATTCTATTTTCATTAAGTTATTTTTCTTATTTTTGTACTGATTGTTTCAAATAAATTATTAAAAATAAGCAAGTTTTACTATTGAAAGCTCGTACTCTATTCAGTATTTTTCAATGGTAGATAACACCACAGTGTTAAAAAATAGATCTTGCTAAATAGCATATTTTACAAGTTTGTTTACATAAATAATTATTTTATAATAATAATATGAATACATTGAAAAACTTTGAATGAGCCTAAAAACATTTTTTTTCAGCTTCGTATCTGAAAATGCCAAATAAAAATGCATCAATCTGTAAAACCATCTTTAAATATAATACACTGTTTACATCCCAAATAATGAAATGCATAAACAAGTGTCATCAGTCACAATTCTATTTAGATTTCAAATCTTTTTTTAAAGGCTCCAATTCAAACAAATCCCACATTGATGAATTGTCAATTGCACACATTTCAATTTGATCCTAGTTATAACACCGTGCCATTTAAGTTTATTATTTCCGAATGGTTAAAACAATGCAGCGAAGGAAGTCCAGAGGACTGCTTTGATTCACTGACTTTGCAGCAACCCTTGCTGCTAAACAGGCATGTAGTGGACAGTTCATGCAATATGTTTTTAACTTTGCAGCATTTGTGCTGAACATGCATTTGGTGATGCTGGGAAGAAAAAAAATCCCTTTTAGGGGAAAAAACACACAAACTAAGCATCTCTCTGAAATGAGTTTTTGGAACTTGGGATGTCTGTGGTTGTAGGGGAGGCGACGGCAAACTGAGCAGTGAACATGATGTCAGTGCGGCTGAGGAGAGACATGGCGAGAGAGATGAGAGCAGAGAGCAGGAGGAAATAGATTACTTTGCCCGTCCTGATCCTTGTCTTTTACAAAACTTTTTTGAATCACCACCCACAACAAAGCACAAAAAATCCAGTTGTGCAAAACGTTTTCACCACTAAAAATGCAACCAACAGAAGGTGTCTCACATATTGTGAGAAACGTCATGCTTTATTTTGTTTTGTATGTATTGCATTTGGAAAGACTACTGACACAAGCTCATTTATTACTGGGATGTCCGATTGGAGGCATGTGCACCAGCGCACAGAAGAGCATGAGAAGAGTAGCGTAATTTGTGTGGTTGACTGTGACTTTTCTCTCTCTCTCTCTCTCTCTCTCTCTCTCTCTCTCTAGCAATTGTTGCTGTGCTGTGGTGGAGTTTACATTTTACAGTGTTAATAAATTAAGATTTTGGAAGTATTTTAAGTGTCCAGTCTCACTAATTTCCATTAACCTGGCCTCAAGGTATTGCACAGTTGGTATACACATTCAGTACACCAAAAATAAATGTGGTGGGCCAGTCTAGTCCAAAATGCAAGGGCCATTTTTTTGTCCCAGTCCATCCCTGACCATAACCATAATCTATAAAGCGCCCTATTAATAATCTGGAGCATTTTAATTTAAAGAGCCCGTCACTGATATGTTTAGACGTAAAAACAAGTCTGGCGATGCAGACTTCATGTCTTGAAACTCTATTTTGTGGTACCATAGTGATAACAATAAAAGGGAGGATTAAACAATTATGATAACCTCTTCTCAGTCTTTCTTAGGTAACTGTATAGCTATAGTTAAAACCAAAGCTCCATAAATACTGCTGTTTAAAAACTACGCAAATTTCAAATTGGCTTCTTCAGGACACCAGCTACATAAAAAAAAGTGATTTACACCATTAAACATCCCATAGTGAGCACATTTGATCATGTTCATCAAACTTGTCAATCACCCAAGTGGAAAACAAAAAAGAAGAAAAGTAAAAATAAATAGTTTGACAATACATTTTTTAGAGCCTTTTAAACATAATTAATTTAAATTAATCATCTAGACAATAAATCAAAATTCTTATCATGACAAGAAATTTTGTATAATACCGGTAATTAATAACGAGAAACGATAGTATGAATGGCCACCCATACAAGACAAACACTTACCACATTGCAAAGACTGGACAAAATTCCAAATAAATTAAGGTTTAGCAGAGCTACTGCAATGTTAAGCCTCTTTAAACAGTGCAATTCTAGGAAAAAAATGCTCTAAAATAGCTGCTGCCCGTGTTCTTACTAGATATAAGAAAGTAGAGCACATCAGCCTGCTTATGAAGTCCTTCCACTGGCTTCCTGTAGCTCAGAATATAGACTTTAAAATCCTTCTGTTAGTCTATAAATCACTGAATGGATTAACACTTCAATATATATAAAGTAACAGATTTCTTCCTGATGTTATTAGGTACAAAGGTTTTATTAGTTTAAGGTTGTGATCCAATAGTTTTATTTGTTATACTCATGTATTTGCTTTTCTTCTATTTTATTATCTAATTCACTTTGAGTTGTCCACCTACAAATAAACTTGCCTTGCCTTACCTGAAACTAATGCAAATCAACCCAATACAGCCCGGATCTTTATTTTAATCTTCAAAAGAAAAGGAGGCTAAAAACCACACACACACACACACACACACACACACACACACACA